CTGCCCTTCGGGCGGGGGGCTGGACTCGATGATGTTCTGAGGTCCCTTCCAGCCCTAATGTCTATGAAAGAGAAAACCTTGATTTAAATCAAGTTACCCACTGATACTTCTTCACATATTTCTTAAACAATGGCACAAATCTGATCAATAAAACATGTTAATTTACAACTCAATACAGCATTTACAACATCTGTCCTGACGATTTAAAGAAAAATTAAAAAACCCAATTCAAATGTAAAAAATTCGATTTAAATTAAAAAATATCAATTTTTTTTTATTTTAAAATAAATTGATTTTGGTCCACCTTGTCATTACCACCTGAGATCTCCGAAGTCCTGTCCATATACCATATTTATCATGTATTTTCTCAACATGCATAATTTTTTGTACATAATTCTCCAACAGTTTCTCTATCTCCCCCATCTCAAGAATGTTGGTGTACATTCTAATAATATAGTCCTTTCTCTTGTCTTTTCCCCTGCAATAAAACATCCCTTTCAGTTCTTCTTTCTCACCTACTGCCACATATGTCTTCCAAAAATCCTCATAACCTTCTTGGCTCCAATATGAAATTTCCCAAGACTTCCAGTTAGGAAAGGTGACCAGGCTATTCAGATGTTCTACTTTAATACCCAAAATTTCAAACAATATTTTTTTCTATAATTTTATGTCTATTCATTGTCTGATTTCTCTGTTCTCCTTCCCTTGTTACTACTGATCTTATTCTCAGGTGTAGATTACCTGCCACTCCATCTCTTGCTTCTTCCCATCTTCTTTCTCTTTGCAGATCTGGTTTATTGCTCCCACTAATCTTCCTCTTCCCTTTAATCATGGATTTTGGGGGTGGCAGGGGTTTATCTAGAGTATGCACACACACACACTGAGCAGTGCTGAGCTTTGGGATTACTATAGCTTGAAATGCTGTTGACTCTGGTGGGATCCAGCCTAATGTAGTATATGGTAAATCATGAGTCTTTTGGCTTTGGACTAATATCGTGCATAGATTGTGCTATATATAAAAAGGTGCAAAACTTCTGCTTGAAATGTGTGTAAAGAGTACCTGCACTTAAACTTGCAGCAATTTCATAAAAGGTAAACTGCAGCAATTCTGGATGGACTAAGTCTATGGGTACCCATAGTAATTTGCCTATATGCAAATTATTATAGGCATGTTTATTTCAAGGTCAGTGTTCTCAGATTTGCCTCTCACTTTGCTGTGCTCAGGGAATGCAGGGTCCAAAAAAGGATAGGAGGAAAGGACTGAAGAGGAAAGAAGTTGGGGGTGTGTGCAGAGGGCAAGGGGTTACCCGATCCCTCAGATTTATTTTCCTTGCTGTTGCGGCGGGAGGGGGACAAATTCAAAGCAATCCTCCAATAATTAGATTCTATACCTGGATTCTATAATTAGATTCTATCAATAGTACATACGGATTCCAAAAGAGCATATGTACATATGGGTATTGTATGTACATAAAGTATATGTAGTATAGTACATATGGGTATTTTAATGCTGGAAAACTTTTATTTCAGGATCTCACACTAAGAAAATAGGTTTTATTAACTTTTATAAAGAGACAAAAGTACGTAATAAATTTGAGAAATGGATACATTTTTATTATACCTTGATAACGTCTTTGCTTGCTTCAGTGAAATACTTCAGTATACATTCTTCTCTAATTGTTCTTACCTCACCAGGAGTTTTCTGCATGAGTTACTTATACTACATTTAGAAAAGAATTCAACTTTGCATTAGAGTGCTAGCATCATTGTAATTCTAGTTTCATGCATGGCAGATTCCTTTATAGAGCTAAATTTAATGTATTTCTAATTAAAAAAGCTTGGTACTTAGGAATGTTATCACCATCATCATCTTCTTCTTGTTTGCACAGCTCACCATGTTAAAACTGGAACCTGTGAGGTGGTGGCACTCCACAGATGTTGTAATAAGAACAAGATAGAAGAAAGGTCACAGACAGTCAAGTGCTCCTGCTTTCCAGGGCAGGTAGCAGGTACCACTCGAGCAGCTCCTTCTTGTGTTGATGGTGCGACTTCTTCTATTCCTTCATTTTGTTGCATTTTTTTAGTGGGTTTTGTAATACTTAGTGTGAACACTGAGACTTTCCCTTAAGCCAGCATTCTTTAAAAATGGTGTGAAGGATTCTGAGTTATGAAATGTACACCCAAGATGAATGGGAGAAGAAGATATGAAAAATTAATTATTTACTATTACTCTATGGAAACACTAAATCAAATTATTAGAAGCCTGTGAAAGAGACCTCCTGAGAAAGAAACCTTGATCTAACTATGAGTGCCCTTAGTATCATATCAGTTTCATTTAATTAAAAGTGTTTGTGCTAATGCTACATCAGCATATCAGTTTTGCATACCGCTGTCTCACATGTTATTCATATATTATTTTGCAACAAAGAAAACAACAATCTGAACTATATGTATATATTTTGGCTCATTATCAGTCTTAGCCAATTCCATCTATAATGCAATATTAATATTGTACTTAAATCTCACATGAGATCGTATTTGGGAAAATATTGGGTTATTTTGCACTTCTCTTTCTCTGACAGAGGATCAGAGTTGTATCACCCTTTACATGAGCTTCATACTGTTGTTGTTGGCCATCATGGAAGCTGTAAATATGTCATCTTTGGGGAATAAATTTAATCAGCATGTACAAACAAAATATACTAACTTAAGCCACAGAAATCTACTGCAAAACTTAGAAACCTAGCTGGCTAAGAAAATACAGTGATGGCAAAGGAATGCTGTGAAATTTATACTTGAAATAAGATAAATTTAAATAAATATAAATTCATTACACAGAACCTTTCATAAATAGTCTTACTTTATTTAGAAAGATTCTGACTCACATGCAAATTAAAATGTAGATATCAGCCAGTACATTTCTCCTAAGATTTTGAGGGAGACTAAAATAAATGCTGTATATTAATGACACATTAATGCAGCCATTTTATGAATATATAAATATCTATGTTTTCCCCTCCTGTAGCTTCGATAGTGGAACAGAAATGGTGGTGCCACATGCAGCCGTGTCTTGAAGGGGAAGAATGTAAAGTTCTTCCAGATCGGAAAGGATGGAGCTGTTCTTCTGGGAATAAAGTGAAAACAACTAGGGTAGGTACAGTACCAAGTTAACTTTTTACCACCAGGTAACATGCAGATCCAGACTAACTCAGAAAAACTGAAAAGGAAACAGGATGGAAGAATAGTGAGGTGGGTAAAGAGTTATATCGACATTGGACTTTCCTGGGCCTTCATGCTTATCACAGTTTACTTTGCAGATGATTGATCATAGTATTCATTATTCCTGTCATCCTCAGGTAGCAATAAAGAGAATACAATCAAACCCTTTCTCATCAAACAGTAATGACAATTTATATAACATTTGATAGGTGTTTCCCTCCATGACTGGCTGCAAAAATCGTTCACATCTTGCTAAGCCCATGTTAATGTTCCAGATTCACAAGACATTGGTTTACAAGGTGTAAAACAAATGCATTTTTATTAGTTACATAGAATTACCAAGTTTCTACATAGAAACTGATGAATATGGTACATATTTACTGTCATTACAGAACAATCTTCTGGTGCTTTATGTCTTGTAAGATTGAGAATTACTAAAACATTTTATTAGGGTTCCTTTTTGCATTTGACACTTTTTATATTGTTGGTTCAAAATTGCATTAGAAGAAATCTATCTAACATCATGTGCAATTTACAGAAAACAAAGTAAATTTGGGGAATCTGAAACTTTTTATTTGCTAACAAAAGTAGAAGGATAACAAATTTCCTTAGATAACTTAAGTATCTAGACTTCTCAAAACCTCAACTTCAAACACCAGTAAGGTCAACTCAACCTTGTGAGACAATTTAAGTATCCATCATTCAAGCAGACATGCCCATGTGAGTTGCAATGAGACTGCTCCTGTACTTGAAGTTATTTAATAATATTTTGTAGGACCAAGCCATAATTGGTTACCATATAAATTATTGTGTGTGTTTGTGTGTGTTTCTTTTAGATGGGGCCTCTGTGCCATTTGTAGACACTAAAGATTTTATAGCATTGGACACAAACATTTCTCTTATTTATGTTGCAATGTATGGTGCACTGACTGGCTACACACCTTCTATTCTTTATGTATGAGTTTTAAACCATTTTGACATTTTGGGGGGTGAAAGCTACTTTTTAGGTAAGCCGTTCTTCCTTTTAAAATATCACCTGAAATTATTAGTTTTAGCACTAATCTCTGGTTGAACAACACCCTCACCTAATTTTCATGCATTCATATGAATCTATATGCAGGCATGTATATATTTATATATATATAAAGGATATATGTAGCTAGCATATCCAAATAGAATAAGATGATTCAACAACAGTTGAATCAATAGTTGAACAGATATAGAAAAGAAACTGGAGAAAAAAATGTCTTTAGGTTACATCTCTCTCTCATGTTCATCTAGTCTTCATCTTTCTCACCATTCCTACTTTCTGTGACCTCCCTATAACTAAATTATGTCATTTTGAGAATGATACCTTAGGACAGGAATTTTTTCTTTATACCCATAAAGGTGAACAACTTTTTCATCTGAAGTAACCTGTTATCAGAAAGCAAATTGTTTTCCGTAGTATATGGTGGCTACAGCATTTTCATCTTTTTCCCAAAGGGAAAGAGAATTCTCTAGTTTCAAACAACATATTCTTAGAAAACTAATAAAAAGTCCTACATAGAGTCAGTGGACACGTCTATATATGATATTAATGCAATGCAATAAACTTAACATACAGCTGAGACCAAAGCATATTGAGCCAAGTCGGAGCAGCTCTGGCTGACAGGGAGCCCCAGGAACCAACCTACCAACCTGGGGCTGCTCCAACCCTCCTCAATGTGCTTCGGAGGAGCTAGCTGGGGCATGAGGGTGCTCCAGTGTGGAACTAGCCAGCAAGCAGCCCTACACTAAAGCACCCTTGTGCCCCCAGCAGCCCCATCAGTATCTACAAATGCGTTGCTGCACATTAAAGAATGCTATTGCAGGATAGTACTTGTATTTACAAGTACTAATCTTTGGCAGAGTTAATTAGTTTCCTGCAGTCTAATAGGGGCACATGTGTAGATGCTGAGACTTTACTGCGGAGTTAATTAGGTGGCTCCACAGTAAATATCTTATGTAGATGTGCCCACTATTAAGAGGCCAAGAATAATGAGCTTTTGATTATCAAATGAAATAACCCATATGTGATCACCATTTATAATATAAAAGCAAAAAGAAACAAAGCAAGCTGGAAAGTTTGTGTTAATTAAGAACAAAGCAGACATGAAAGCTAGTACCACTCACCTGCAGTGCAGGCTGCCTAGCTCCTTTGTCATGAGCAGCCCAGCATCTTCCTGCTGCATAGGCACACAGGTATTGTAGGCCCTCTCATGCATGAATCTTGGGCCCCCTGATCTCCTCCTGCTGTACTCTGTAACCCCCAGGAGCAGGGCAGGAAGTACAAGCCAGAGGAGGGCAGGGGAACCCAAAGAATCTGGCTGCCACGGGTCAGGTCAGTGGTGGCCAGGTGTGAACCTGTGGGCCACATGCTAATCCTTTGAGGGCTGAATGTGACCCATTGGCTGCCAATTGGACAGCCCTGTTTTAAGCATTTTGGAATGATATTACAAAAAATCACTGTCCTACTTCATCTCAGTCCTCCCTTCCTTGCTCCAAGGGCCTTATGGCTAAGAGCAAACACAACTCAGGGGCATCCAAACCCCAAGCCTCCTGGCTTGGGCCTGCAATAGGATGCCCACCAAAGGTTTTGGAAACATCTGAAGACCCAGGTGTGGGTGGAGGATATTTGCTGGTAGAAGGGCCACTGATGGTTCTAGACTCTTGGATCTAGAATTATAGTTTCATAGTTGGTAGGGTCGGAAGGGACCTAAGTAGATCATCTAGTCTGACCTCCTGCCATGTTACCCCCAGTAGTGCTTGGGGGAACAGGGACTCTCCCATTGCCTGCTGGTCCCCCTTGGCAAGTTTATAGGTGGCCACCAGATCCCCCCTCAGCCTTCTTTTGTGGAGGCTGAACAGGTTCAGGTCCTGTAGCCTCTCATTATAGGGCCTGTCCTGCTGCCCCCAGTAATGTGAGTGGCCCTCCTCTGGACACTCTCGATGCTGTCCACACCCTCCTGAAGTGCAGTGCCCAGAACTGGATGTAGTACTCCAACTGTGGCCTGACCAATGTTGCATAGAAGGGGGGATCACCTCCCTGGACCTGCTCGTGATGCATCTATGGATGCATGACAAAGTGTGGTTAGCCTTCCTGACCGTGTCCCCACACTGGCAGCCCATGTTCATCTTGGAATCAACAGTGATTCCAAGATCCTTCTCTGCCTCTGTGCTGATGAGAAGGAAGTTCCCCAGCCTATAGGTATGCTGCTGGTTCTTTCTCCCTAGGTACAACACCTTGCACTTGTCCATATTGAAACCCATCCTATTCTCAACCTCCCACCTCTGTAACCTGTCAAGATCTAGCTGTAGCCTGTCCCTCTCTTCTAGCATACTCACTTCTCTCCACATCTTAGTGTCATCTGCAAACTTGAACAAGGTGCTTTTCACCCCCTTGTCCAAATCGCCGATAAAGATATTGAACAGTGCGGGCCTGAGGACCGAGCCCTGGGGAACCCCACTGCCCACATCTCTCCAGGTCAAAAATGACCTGTCCACCACCACTCTCTGGGTGCAGCCCTCCAGCCAATTTGCGACCCATCTGACTGTGTAGGCATCAACACCACAGACGCCTAATTTTTTAATGAGGATGGGACGAGAGACAGTGTTGAAGGCCTTCCAAAAGTCTAGGAAGACTACATCCACCATGACACCTGCGTCCAAGGCTTTTGTGACCTGGTCATAGAAGGCCACCAGGTTGGTCTGATAGGAACTGCCTCTAATGAACCCATGTTTATTGCCCCTAAGCATAAACTCACCTGCTGGCCCTTCTCAGATGTGCTCCTGGATAAGTTTCTCAAAGAGCTTCCCCAGGACCGAGGTAAGACTAAAGGGGCTATAGTTTCCTGGGTCCTCTTTCCTCCCTTTTTTGAAAATGGGGACCATATTGGCCCCTTTCCAGTCATCAGGCACCTCATCAGAGCATCACGAGGGCTCATAAAGCTGTGTCAGGGGTCCTGCAATGACTTCTGCCAGGTCCCTAAGCACTCTGGGGTGGAGATCATCAGGACCTGCTGATTTGAACACATCTAGTCCCTCCAGAAGTTCCCTGACTAGGTCCTCACTGACCCTGGGCCTGGCAGCATCTCCCCTGGGTCTGTCCGGAATCCCAGAGGGGAGGTTGTCCCTGTCCCTGCTCAGAAAAATGGAAGCAAAGAAGCTGTTAAAGAGATTAGCTTTATCATCTGGTGCTACCACCAGATTACCAAGCATGTCCTGCAGAGGTCCCACATTATTTGGTACCTTCTTTTTACCTACTACGTATTTAAAAAAGGACTTCTTGTTATCTTTGATCCTGGTCGCTAGTCCCAGTTCTATCTCTGCCTTAGCCTTCCTAATAACCCCCCTACAATCTTGAGCCAAGGAGGTATAATCCTCCTTGGTGATGGCCCTTCCCATCCATTGGGTGTATGCCTCCTTTTTCGCTCTGAGGCATTTTGGTTAATTTGGCCTCGGATGCAAGTTATAAAAAAACCCCCAAAACAACTTCATCTCAGTGTGTTTAGTAGTAGAAAAAGATGATATTTATTTATCATGGAAAAGCAGTAAATGGAGAATGATCTTCATAATAATTTTATTCCATCACATTTGTATTTAGGTGGTTTGTAAAGTTTGTGTCTGTGTCGTCAAACAGTTATGAGAGGGCAAATGCTAAACTAGCACAATAGTGATTTAATTATATTTAGATAGAAATCTGAGTGTGACTACCTATCATAGCATTTCACTGGAATGGAAGAGGATATTCAGAAATAGATTACGAAAAATAATAGTAAAACCCCCTTAATTTCCAATGAAAGCCCATTTTCCATGGAAAAGGGATGTAACTGAAAAAATACTGGCTGCTGACAGATTTGGAGAAAACAAACAAATAGTGCTTTACCGGAAGAGGCAGTGCATTAGTTCAACCCAGCTTCTGTATAGATTGGGTGCTTTAGCAGGGTTTTTTGACCCTTTTATATAAAGCTGATTCAATCAGCTATTAGATAAAAGCACCAAAAAAGCAGTGCTGAATTGCCCAATCTATACACATGTTGGGCGAGCTGGGTCTAACTAATGTGATGTCTCTTCTGGGCATGCAGCGGGCTTGGTGTGGGGCTGTGCAGATTTTAAA